GTGGTAGCACCTACTTCGTAGGATTGTTGGGAAGATTAAATGAGATGCACTAAGCACAGAGCCTAACGCATGGCAAGTGCACACCACGGAATAGTTATTATTGCTACTTTTATTATGACATGAGCTCTTCGGGGTTGGGATCGCTAAACCTCCCATCTTCCTTTAGGCAGAAGCAGAGAAAGAGGAACAAGTGTCCTCAGAAGCACCTTGCAGGGGATGGAGGGGCTGAGCCCACAGTGGGGCAGCACCACGTCGCGGGCCCCTGGCCCTCAACCCCAGTTCCTTTTCTCTTCTCTGGACCCGCCATCTACTGGCCCCGAGGAGGTAAGGCTCTTGGGGGAAGCTGGGGCTCACACATGGGCAGACGGTGCCCCCTTCCCCTGCTGGGCTGAAAGGGTTCTCCAAGGACAGGAAACTGGAGATCCGAATGCTGTCTTTTTCTGTCCCATTTCCCTGCAACCTGATTCCCTGTCCATTAGTCTGTTCCTTCTGTTCTTACAGTGGACAGTGGTGGCCTCCCCTGGAGGGACCTCTGGGCTTCTCCTGGAACTTCTGAGGAGGCCAACAGCCAAGCACAGGCCACTCTGAGCCCTAAAACCATGAGTCCTGAATCCGGGGCCCTGCTCAAATAGCCGGTCCTTCCTAAGCCCCTTCTCTCTCCTGTATCCCTGAGGTTTCACGTGATTTGGTGTCAAGGGTCAGTGCTTGGACATGTGAGGCACAGGAGAAGCTTCTATGCGTGTCTGTGAGTAAACCTCCCCAATGTCCCTGAAATCCTACCCAACGGGGGACCCTGACTGCTGGGCGTGGCAAGGGTGGCAGGTGGCGTGTAGACTGGCACTGTTGCTTACTCTCCCCTCCCTGCCCACTCCTGGTACACGACCCCCCTGCCCTAGAGTGTTTGCCACAGGCCCCTCCAGGCCCCCCCCTGTGACTAAGCAGCGTGAGGGGCCCTATAGGATGCTAATGGATGGCTGGTGGCCTCCCCCAAGCGGCGCAGAGTAAGGATTCAGAAGCCAGGCCAGTGAGTAGAAAGACCAGGTCTTTACTGCAAAATCATTCAAAAAACACACAACATGGCAGCAATTCTTTCAATACAAAGCACTTCTCAGGGCCAGGGCCCCACCGACTAGGAACAGTTTATTGCATAAAATAACATTTTACAATAGTGTGGGCACTACTGAGGTTCACATCAGCGTTCCACTGTTGGGTAAGAGTCAGCTCCTCTGAAAGCATTAGCAGCTTCTCAGTCACGGTCATGGGGAGGGGGCCAGCTCTAACGCTAACAATCCCGCAGGTCAGGGAGGCCCCTCCAACCAGGGCCTCACCCCTGCTGCCTCCTAGGGCACCTTCGGGTGTGGGGGGGATATCCTCACAGGCCCAACAGGCCCAAGCCCACCCTGGGCCAGGCTCCTGCCCCCTCCGGGACAGGGCAGTGATGGCTCCGATCAGGCCGAGTGCGTGGTGAGCACTGATGCGGGCTGTGGGGGCTGGGGTGGGGCTAAGGGCGTGCCTGCGGGTTGAGGAGGCTGTGGGTCTGGGCGCAGGTGAGCACCATCCTCCGTGATGGGGAGGAGGAGCTGTGTGGTGCCTCCACCTCCTGCCTGCCGCCTCCTCGCTTCTAGTGCACATTCTTCCAGCTCCTCGGGCTGGGCCGGTGACTCAGCAGCAGATCACTCCCAGGGAGGGGTGGGCAGGCTCATTTCTTGACAGTGACAGGCCGATCTCCACCTGAGGCCTCCAACTGTAAGCTGAGGACTCCAGGGCTGAGACGAGAGGGCCTGCTGGGTCCCGCAGGGTGCAAGTGGGCGGGCGTGAGGTAAGAGGGAGCAGAGGGACCACACCCCGCTCCCCAAACCTCAAGGGTCTCAACATAACTGTGCAAACAATTCCAGGCTCCCACCCCAGCCCCAAGAACCCCCTCACAAGGCAATCCTGCGCCACGGAAATTTGCCAGTCTCCGGCAGCGCCCTGCTGGCAAGTCCAGTGAAGCTCTGGGAATCAATGGCTTTGTAAGACTGAGGCTGGGCTGCT